CTGGCTAGCGTGTCCATCGACTTTATCATAAGGACTTCTCTAGAATCCTTGGTGACTTCCTTAGAGACTTTATCTATTCCTCCGTCGAAGATGGATGGCGTAGACCACGGGGCTGTGTAGAGTGGAGCTGTAAACTGCTCACCCCAACTACAGGAAGCGAGGAGACCTTGACGACGAGCCAGAGTTAGCGCTGCAGAGACTGATGTGAGATGATCCGTTAGAAACTGCTGGTCCTTCTTCTGCATAAGCAGGGCCGAGTAGATCATTCTGTCATCCTCAGATGTCGAATCTCGAAATTTGGTGATAAGAGTCCCATTGATCGTTCTAGTTGACTGGCGAGGGGTTCCGGTGTATCGACCATGGCTAAACCCTGTTTGCGTGACCTATCTGCTGCACGTCTTAAGACGCAAAGATAATATTTGTTAAACGCAGAATTAGACAAATTAATACAGTAACTGCAACGTGAAGAAAACGCACATGGTGCAGTACAGCTAGGGCATATTAAATGCGGATCAGCAGCAGAAAAACGTAATCTACAAATAGTACAGATTTTCATCAACGTAAACTTGCTGAACAATCACGGCGTCCCGTGAATAAACAGCAGAAATACAATTAATTATCAATACATAATTGTTGAAGGATACTAGCTACACCTCTATAGAAGACTATAAGAGGTAACTAACTAAGAATAATCAAAGGATATAGTGTGTAGGGAGACACAGGCGCTCTCACATCCTGCTCACTGGGCGAAGAAGGAGAGAGTGAAGCATGAGGCCAGAGGGTGGCGCCTCCTTTCCCGCGCAATTGGAAGAGGGAGGCAACTCTTGGTGAGTACTAATTAGTGATTTTACATTGAAGGGAGCTTCAATTAGGGAGATACAAGTGTTCCACTATGTTCGCAAGAAGAAGAAGACAAGCAAAAGAGCATGAGTCAGGATAAGGAAAAATAAACACATATAATATCTTTGAGAAGACCCCTTGTGCCTGTAGGCAGCCCGTGCATTTCATGCTAGGTGTGTCGATGTTCTGTCATCATACCTGGCTGGGCGACCTAACTGTCATCTATAGTCTGATCTATTGTTTTAAACAGCTATTCGTATTTTTTCTAACTTTTGCCCGATTTTACTAGTAAACATGCTTTTTATCTATTTCTGACAGTACTTTAGATGGTCATGATCATAGACAAAAGACTAGAGGTGACAAAATCAGAGGAGGTTGAGGAACGTATACAGGCAGTGCTGAAGTAGGAGAAATCAACGTACTGCACATCAAAACAGTGAGTGAGTTTAGTTTTACGAGGCACTCAGCAATATACCAGTTATATGGCGGCAGTCTGCAATTAATTGAGTCTGGACCAGACAATCTAGGGATCAACAAGGATCGACCTACGCAACTGGGATACAATGACATGTGTCAACCCAGTCAGCAAGCCTGACCACCCAATCCCGTTAGTTGCCTCTTCGACAAGCATGGGTTACTGAAATCCAATTCTAACCTGTATCTTCACAGGTTGCACATGGAAACAACTGGATGTGGAGGGATCCTGTAGGGATCCCCAAATACCATGGTGGGATGGATGATCCAAAAGAAGGTTGACAAACAATGGCGAGGACTGATCTTCTCAAAACTATCAGTCTACCAAAACAACTAGAGGGATCATCAAACAAAAAGTGACTGATGATTCTGTATGGAATGCAGTGCCCAAGAGGAGACAAATACTGTAAACTGGAAATATTCTGCGCCTAGAAAAGATTGCGTCAGCGTATCCCAAGCCTGTTTTGCGACGTATTATTTTTGTGAGAGTAGCAGGCTTTGCAAAAACAACATTGTTAACTAAAACTACATTGCTTAAATATTGTGAAGAAGAACAAAGACTCAGTCATTCGTGGATGGAGGGCATCCGATATTCTCGATGCAATAATCAGGAAGTAGGCTAAGCCACCAGTAAGCTGCTTTTGTTCGAGTATTTGTTATAGGACATGATAATAATATGTATGGTCCCGATATCAGTGGCTTTCCGCATGGTAACTTGATACAACATCGGGAAATACCTCCGTTTTGGAAGCTTCGTACGAATAACATGAGAGGCAATTCGTTTGATGGCGGGTATTGTTCCAGCTCGAAAGCTCTGAGCATCAACAAGATCACTGTACCCTTGTCAAAAGTATTTTCGCAGTTGTAAGAAGTGATTTTATTGGATAAAGATTGGTTTCTAATGACGCTTTTCTGCCACAGTCTGCTATGAGAATCGTGCTTGGTCAAAATCATGCAAGTGACCTAAGGCAGCTAATCATATTACAGCAATGGATACTGTCCTCATTTTAGATTCAGACGAAAGTTTTGGGTAAGATCATGCTATTCGGAACGTGTGACGCAGAAAATCACCACCTATACGTATATTATGAAACTTAGTGGACTTATCATGGTAGGTTATGACCTGTGACAAAAATGCTTCATGCATATATTTTAGCATTAAACATCGTGTCCGAGCGCTAAGCCGAGATGTCACTTGAATTACTTTACACGATCGCACAAAAAAAAGATGGAAATAGTAAGTTGTAATGTACGTTTGACAACTTTAAGGAGCACTGTTATTGATTTTATTCTTCAGTTTATTCAATTTGTAACTATCATCTCGAAAGATAGTTACTTTGCTCTTTGACAACTTTGATGTGGACCCGTTGGGGAGGCATGTGTCCGAGAATTGGTGTTTTTAATAAAAATAGTTTATAATTCTAATTCTGTCAATAATACATGGTCATTTGAAATGTAATAAGAGTTTGGAGACATTGTTATAAGTGACTGATTTAAAAAATGAATCATACATTAGTTAGGTTCCTAAAATTACGTATCATTTTGATGCGACTGCCTGGCCGGTTTACTGGCCTACAGTGTCTGGGGACTCGTGACGTCTTGGCCGGTTTTCCGGCCTACAGTGTTGAATGGGTTAATATTACTACGTCGAGAATTTCTTGCGTGGGGAAGAGAAACGCAAAATTCACAAAATATAAACTGACGCAGAATATTTCCGGTTTACAGTAGATCGACAGTCCGGTGGGGCTGTGGACCATGGCAAGGAATTGGCCAACGATGAGAGGTTGCCGATTGTCTTACAACTACCAGTCTCTAACGGACCGACAGGATGAGTGTTAGACAAGGTTTATCCAACTGCAGATTCTGATACCATCAATGGAAGATGAGTTGTGAGACGAAAAACTCTCTTACATCTAGCACAAACTATCCTCTTGTTTGAACCTGTGCACATATTTATCTTACAAAGGTTTATTAAACCTCCAAGTTATCTTTTTTTAATTCTTACTACTATTTCATAATCATTCTACTTTTGATGAAACAAAATCCCAATATTTGATGGGTCAAAAAGACATATACAACCAATGATCTCTATAAAAGACAGGACGTCTGCACACAAGTGGGACAGAGGAGTGAGTGAGTGAGTGAGTTTAGTTTTACGCCGCTTTTAGCAATATCCCAGCAATATCCCGAGGACGACACCAGAAATGGCCTTTACACATTGTACCCATGTGGGGAATCCAACCCGGGTCCAACTAGGCTACCCCACCGCCCCAGGACAGGGGAGTGAAAGACAACATGATCACATGATTAGCCTGGGCAGACTGCATGCTCTGCAAGAGCTTACGGTGATGATCTATATCAGCAACTGGTGGAGCGGCGAGCTGTTTAGAAAGGCTGAACCTTTTAAGACACATAGATAATTTTTAGCATATTTGGCATCGCTCTCAATCCACTTTTGGCTTAACCAAGACTTAAGTTTTGTGGTGCCTGCAGCCTTACATGATACAATCTTTCTTAAATCTGCCTATAAAAAATATTAACGTTTTGAGATTTTAACCATAATCAATTCAAATGTAAAACATAAACGATGATAGTCTATTGTCTTTAAAAGTAAAACTCTTATTCACACACATGAAAGATTTTCACCCTATAGACAATTTTCAATTTAAAACCTTGTGTATTTATCCCAAGTATCCATGATAACATAATTTACATGAACAATTTAGGAAAGTAACTTTTCAGTCACAATTTTTGCATCTCAAGATATCAGCTTTTGTCCTCTCATTGCATTAAAATAGTCTTCCCCTGAATTGGCAGGAAAAAATAATTTTGGAGCAACATTAGTCTGTAGCTCACCTGAAGTTTAATGCAGCAGTAGTTTGTACCGGTATTTGTCCAAGCTTGAATGTGGGAAAATATCTTATGTAATAGAACTGCTTATCTTTTCTGTTTCAGTCTTTTGTAAATAATTCTTTTCATGGCCAAGATCATACTTTATAAAATTCACACCCCGAAGACTTAAAAACATAAACAAATTGGTTCTCAGACAATGGCTTTTGCAAACAGTGTGGGCGAGGATTTTTTTACTGTTTAGATTTCAAACTTAATAAGATCCTCCCTGCTGAAACATATTCCTTGATAAGTAAAATACTGATTAACTGATATGTTCTGTTATCCAGAGTATAACAAATATGTAATTTGTATGATAAAATTGATATTTTATACTTATCCTGACTCATGCTATACTCTCTCCTTCATCGAAGGAAAAGGGAGATAAGCATATAGCATGAGTCAGGATAAGGAAAAATATAATATTTTCATGCTTCATAACTAGTCAGTAAACTTTGGCTCCTTTACAAGCATATGCACATGTATTTTCACATTTTTGTATGGACACATGCCAATCATGTAACATATATTTGGGATTACACTTTCTCAGTAAAGTACAGATACTAGTGCTTTTGTTGGGTTGAGTCCCATCCTGGATTCAAACCTGCACCCACAGAGTCAGTCACCAAATCACCAGCCCACAAAGTCAGTTGCCTAACCAACTCAGTTCTAGAATCTGTACTTTACTGAGAAAGTGTAATCTCAATTATTATAACATGTGTTGTTACATTAACCACTTTCTAAATGGCATTGTGTATGCACATGCCAATCAGTTTAACAAATAATAGTTTACTCACCGTTGCATTTCTTATGGCTGTGAGTATATCTCTAGTAGACAAACCACCCAGTGGGTCAACCGATTCCAATGTTCTGCCAAATGTCTCATGAAATATGTAACAAATTCTGGCTCCTCCACAACTGAAAAGAGATTATCATTGAATGTCATATCATAATGTTCAATCAGAAACCAGAAACTTCTTAATGAAAAGTAATATGGGGATATATCTACTGAGCTTTACACAGTATCTAACAAGCTACTTAATTTTGTTGTTTTTCGTCTGCTTCTACGGATACTTTACTCTATACCTGGTTTACATAACTGCCAGCTGTACTATTCTATTGATTGTTTTATTCCTACCAGTATCTGAATGGGGTACTGGTACTCTTACATCCTTGTCTTGAGACCTGTAACGTCGCTGTCACCATAAAATGAAAATGTTCATTTCTTCTCAAACATGCTTACCCGGTATAACACACTGACAGACATAACAAACTATTTTCCCTGGCCAATATCTTTTAGCCAAAATGCTTATAACAACCTATGGTTATAAGAAACTACAATTACAATTAGTATTCTTTGAATTTTCAGAAATCACAACATTTTTTCAATAATTCCTTCTCATACAAAGTTTTCATCACATCATTGCCAGAACACACCTTAAGGATCTGTGGCTTCAAGCATGTAGTAATACCCTGGATTGTTAAATGAGTGTGAGTGAGTTAAGTTTTACGCCGCTTTTAGCAATATTCCAGCAATATCACGGCGGGGGACACCAGAGATGGGCTTAACACATTGTACCCCCTGGATTGTTAAAAGTTACAAATGATTTACTGATTTCCATCCATTTGGGTCTTATGCCCTTGTAAATACAGTAATCTGGCATTACCTTTATAATTAATTGTTCCAAAACCTAGACATAACATCAAGTTCAGGTGCATAAAAAATAAAAACATTTCAAAAAGTCCAATTCCAGAATAATGCCAAGTACATATGCAGATTTCATCCCTACCACTGTATTTTGCATACAATTGCCAATGTTGTGATTTGAGGTTGCTTCTGGTTACCAACATTGACTTCTGAGCATTATCACTAGCCTTGGTTCGACAATGCTTTGATAGTGTGTGCTTTAAAGGTTCAAAATGCTGGAGTTGTTCCTTAGGCATGTCTGGTTCATCCACACAACTCTGGTAAGGTTCTGATAGTAATGGAACTCCAATTCTTGGCTTGTACGTGGCTTGAGAAGTTGACAGTATGAAAATGAAAACGTTCAGAGACCCTTGTCGTTGTAGCTACTGCCTGATGGAAAGCTATCCATTAACGATGAGGCATATGCCAGTGGTTCAGAGAGTGAGAATACAAAACAAAAGAGAGATTCAACTAAAGGTTGTGTGAGGGCTTAAGCATCATCCATCAGAGATCTCATGATCTAGCTGAAGAAAGGGTGATTTCCAACTGACAACATGTCATGCTGCAGAACTGATGCTAGGGTACAACAGTGTTCTTTGAAAGTGTAATGGCATCCTGACTTTTATGAAGAAAGAATACCCTTACCATGGGTACTGTATATTACCGTAGATAAGCCGACCCCCTAACTTGACCATTAAAATCAGTGTCAAAATGGTATGTTTCGTACATAAGCTGACCCCCCGCGATGGGATCCTAATCGCTGCAAACTCAGACCATTGACAACTGGCAGTTACCGATAATTATAACTTCTGTCCGCATTAATCAAAGAATTCACAATCATATTGTGTCTACTCACGCATTGAAATGAAGTGTAGTTGACAGAAAATGAATAATATATTTTGTTTCGCTAAATATCATACTTACTGTAGCTTGACGATCACATGTCAACAAACTGACTTGCTTATTTTGCCCCATTCCCTGTGCGTACAGCTTTCGATTACCATATTCGTGAGGGTACGTTTTTCGCTCCAACCGCAATAGCAAATTCACATCATATTATCAACAATCACGAACTGATTACCGCCTCGTTATCTACGGACCGCTAGTTTAAAGTAACATCGGTGAAAACATGTGTTAATATAAATGGCATGTTTATTTCACTTCATTCCAACCTCCGCTTACCATGTTCATGAGGGTCCGTATAACCTTAGTGTTGATTACATATTTTACATTTAGACCAAAACCAGTAATTAAATTTACACAATGCTAGGATATATTTCTTTGGGTTAAATAATAGATTTATGTATTATATTTTACTGATCACTGCGTCAGAATTCATCCCGTTATATTATTGTGTATGTTTTAACTAAATCACAGGGACACGTGTGCACAGCTGATTGCTATTTCCGGCTCTATATACGAGACAAATACATATGGTAATCTTAATCCCTGCAAATAATACATTGCCCAGTAAAAACAAATTAGAACTGAAAAGGTAAATAATTTTGTCTAGTGATGTTTAATTGCAAATTTGACATCTTTACTGATAAAGTCGTCTCCTCTTGTTTGTTTGTTCACGCGATGCGATACGATGTCGTTTTTCTTAACCCCTGGAAAAAAGTTTGACGAAAGTGTAACCAATAGATAAGCTGGCCCCCTTCTACAGACTGCTTTTTTTGGTGCTCAACATTTGGCTTATCTACGGTAATATACAGTATATGGGTCATTTTCAAATTTGGTAGGATTTTCTGTCCGTTCCAAATATAAAAAACCTCTGTTAATTTAAAAGGGTGTTTTTGTGCTAGAAAACATATTTAAATGTTTACTAGTCAGTAAATGTGGTATATCATTAGTCTTGTCATTTTGAAATTTATATTTAACCACATTTTAGGGTCAAAATTGGCAGATTTGCTCTGTCCGGAGGCGACGGTCCTAATATCAATGTTCACAAATAATGTAAATATAAATGCAAATAAACAAACTAATTCATATTATGCCAGTTAGGATTGAACAGGCATATTCAAACTGCATTAAAAAAAATTTTAACCTCGAAAAGTTTTTTTCTACAAATTGTAACATGTGAAGAGTCTATTCCTTCTGCTTTTGTCTATCATAGTCTTTGGTGAAAATTGTGCTGAACCTCTAATTGTATATGATAGTTAACTACTAAAGATACTGCACTATACTATAATGAGGATTGTTACACTATTGTTGTTAGTTGTTTAATGCTTTATCAGATTTGTTGTGCTTTTGTATTTCTGTGTTGTTTTGTTTGGGCCATAAGTATATAAATAAAACATTCATCTTTTTGCATACATGTTATAGCACCCCACCCCCAACCATTTACGTCAACCAACCCATCAGATATACAGTATTCTCTGAATTAGTTTTGGGTGATATATTAATCTGCTACCATCATGTTTATGTCACCAATGGAACTATCAATCAAGCTTTTAGATTATGACAGCTGTGTACTGTCAATGCTATTGGAAGACATTGATTTCTATGAATGAAATGTTTGTATTCCTGCATCGCCTCAAAGTCTTGGAGCCATCTGTGTTTTAAATGTCATGATATTGTACAACATTTTCTATCTATAATAAAACATATCCCCATCATGATTTCTGCTTTAAACAAAACATGAATCAAAGGTATTCACAAAGTGTACCAACTAAAACCAAAGATTTTAATGCTCTGCTGTCGCTTTGTAATATTTTCAATGCCATGCTGAAATATCTTCATCACACACAAAAGAACAGGATACTTACACCACAGTTGTTTAAAAGCCATATTTCCATAGACATGCCATAATATTTTCACAGTCAATTTACACACACTCATGTGAGATACTCACAGCTCTGCAGTTTCTATGTTTTTGGCAGTTCCTTCTATTGTGTTACAGTATGCTGATGCAAACTTAGTGATGATCTGTAGCAGCAAGTGACCCTACAACAAAGATCAACACTATCAAAGTTCTCACATATTTATGTTGTTTGTAAAGTCATAAAATATTGAGGACTATTTCAATCCATTGTATGCAAAATGTCCATGATGAGCCTGAAGTTACAGAATCAGGAACATTGTTTCCTAAGTCATCATAGTTCATCAAGCCTACAGTAGTTTAAAAGACTGATGGGCCTCAAATGAAACCAAATGAAAAAGAGATTATACCTTGTCCTCCACAGGTTCACCAAATGATGCCAGCAAAGACTGGAACTGGGCAATCAACACATTGACTCTTGTCTTCAACTCTGGAAGGCAGTCTCGTATGTGGTGCATCAAAAGCTGAAAATACACAGCAACAATGTAGGATATAATAAGGTAACATTCAACACTACAACATTAAATGACACAACATCCTTGAAGTACCATAAAGGAGGAAGTTCTGAAGGAGTAGGGAAGTTGATTATAATGCAACTGAAAACAGAATTTCACCTGAATCTCGATATAATGCATATGGAAGGATTATGCACACTGTCGTAGAGTAGAATTTTGGCAAAACCCATAAGCATAGTGCTGACAAAATCTGGGATCAAATAACATGGCATATGTTGCCAGTCTCTGTAAATTGAAGCTTTGACCAGTGTGCCATTCAAACCCAAAACAACTAAAAGGAAACTGTTCACATCACTGATACATTGACCTGAGCAAAGAATTACACAGACAGTAGCCATAAACCAGGATGTGCAAGATGGAAATACTCACTCTGTTCAGTGTCTTAGCAAGGTAGGACGTTCCATTTCTGTTGGCAATAGATGGATATTTCTTTTGTAGGTAGATAGCTTCATCCTTTAGTGCTTCTTGCAAGTCCTGAAGGGAAAGTTGTATTCATGACTACGTGTATAAATCAATTCTAAAACAGTGGAATTGCATAAATATCCTAGTTAATCTGAAACCCTGTTTCTTACAGAGCATAAAAGTTAAGTACTGATGTAAAACGTTGATCCCATTTAGTCCCAAATTTCAGTTCTTGACAATAATCTGTGAACAAAACCTGTACATTAAGTTTGAACACACTTTGCATTTCTCCTCCTTTTCATGGGAACTCTGTCTGACCTGTTTTCAGCTTCAAAAAAACATTTCACTTGAACACATCCCAGTTGTTGCCATGGTGACCATTGTTCTACTTGTAACACAGCAAGTTACAGAATCATGTGCAGCCTTTGTCTGTCATATCTTTCAAATACATCCAGTGCCGTGGGGATGGATGGGTGGGAGTTAATCATGTGAGAGGATAATTTATCATGATAAGCATTCTAAATACACAATTTAAGGAAAAATGTTCTCAGTGCATTTTGCCTTAAGTAGGAAGATGGTGTGCAGAACCCAAGCTTGGATGACAAAGCTCGTGTTAAACCATGATCAAATCTTGATCTTCATGTCATCTGGGGAACTTGTGAAGGGGTATTATTACTGAATGCTGACAGTGGAACCCATTTGTGCTATGTATCATGACGTCTGTAAATACAGGTCATCACTCTACAAAAGATAACTGCATAACCTTGAACAGGCTGAAACTTGTTCAACTACTACTAAAAGACAGACAGACAGAATTTATTCAATTTTTAAGGCCTCAGGCCCATACAACATACATAGGAATTTGGGTGTAGATGTCGGTAGACATCAGGTTTATGGACTTGTTGAGTGTCGGTGGATAGCTGTTATGAGGGAAGCAGAGTTGTCGTTCTTGGCTGTACTTGTCACAAACCATCATTACATGATGTTCATCCTCAATGAGAGATATATTATTAGTATAACAATAGGTGCGCAGTCTTTCTTTATGTGGGATATTGGAGTGTCGCCCAGTTTCTATGGCTAGTCTGAAGTTGTTGCATCTAAATCTTGCAATGGCTATTTTATAGTATAATGGTATTTCAGGTGAAAGATTTTTTCAACATTTAGTAGTGACTTGTATTGAGAGTAATAATTGCATTTGGAAGATTCTGAAAGAAATAAGTGCCAGTTCTGAGTCAGACAGTCTTGTAATCTTTGTTTAAAATTATATATATAAATGTTTTTGTATCCCCAATGTCCCGGCTTATCCACACAAAGCCAAATCCATATTGAAAGAGTAGAGTGCGGATGTGACTAACCCATGTCATCTTCCCCCAATCATCAAAGGACTTGAGCATGAGATATGCATGCTGTGGTTGTCTGTTACTCCCCATATGAGTAAGCCTGCACCAGTAGCTGACTACTCTACACATGTAGTAATACTGCAGTGGGGTTCTGCCACACTCACCCAGAACCATGTTGTTATTAAAAAAAAAGGGTAATGCCAGCAATGCTTGGAAAATGCTTTTTGGCAATTATTTGATAATGGTTGATATTTCAGATTCAAAACTTATATATAATCATTCATAATATGGCATATGAGCAATCACGATGTACCATTCCCTATAGTCCGTTTGGCTCAAAAGCGGACCGATGAATTGCAATCTAACTGGAAAACTAATAAACAGAACATACTCAATGAAACGCTGATCATAATCAAAACATCGAGAAGCACGTTCACAGACAAAGTTATTTATTCATTAACCTGTGCTGTGCCGTCTCCATCCGTTCTCGAACACCTGGCTGTCCCTTTCTCTGCAATTCTCCCTCGTAACAAATAGTGAACTGTGTCAATATTTTAATGATTGTTTGTTAAACAACTTTTTTATTTGTATGACAAGAATTCTGTAAAAACCTCACAGAGTGGGTATGATGTTTTGATTATGATCAGCGTTTCATTGAGTATTTTATGTTTATTAGTTTTCGAGTTAGATTGCAATTCATCAGTCCGCTTTTGAGCCAAACGGACTATAATCATAATGATTACTCGTAAAATATCAAAAAACGTAGAAAAAATTCCATGGTAGGAACACTTCTGAGATACAAACTATACTGTGACCCACCTGGTGGGCAGACAGGGTGACAGCGTTCATGTAATGCACAGGCAGTGCATGTCAGGGACTGTCTCAAAATATCAAGTGTCAGTATCACTGCTGGTCGAGGACTCTAGCGGACTGACTGACTGAGTTTAGTTTTACGCCGCTTTTAGCAATATTCCAGCAATATCAAGGCGGGGGACACCAGAAATGACTCTAGCGGAATTACAACAGGTGCAACTCGGCTGACGTTAACGCCGTCCCACAGACGGTATTCGTCCTCGATTTTGAGAACATGATCTTCAGCATTTTGCCACACTTCTGGGGTAATTCTCGCAAAAGAAGCATACACAAGCTCTTTAATATCTGAAAGCTTAAATGTGGTATTATGGCGAGCAATAAAATTCTCACAGTTACCCCAGATCAGTTTGATGGGATTGAGCTCACAGTGCCGTACTGGTGTACGCAGAACTATGTGGCCTTGTTTTGCAGCTAGTTCGTCAGTGATGTACTGGATTGGCTTTTTGTGCTGCCGGACTTTTTCCATGAGCTAGGGCTTTGTTTCTGATTGCCTGTAAAGCACGCTACAGGAAGTGAGAAAATCCTGCAACAGAGCCTTGAGATTGCTCATGGTGGGTGTGATGGTACCAGGGACACGCAGGTTATGGTAACTGGCGTTATCCAAAATATGTAATTTTCTGAATAAAATTGATATTTTATACTTATCCTGACTCATGCTCTTTTGCTTGTCTTCTTCTTCTTGCGAACACAGTGGAACACTTGTATCTCCCAATTGAAGCTCCCTTCAATGTAAAATCACTAATTAGTACTCACCAAGAGTTATCTCCATCCCACTCCTTTGCGCGCAGGAACGAGGGCGCCACTTCCCGCCACATGCCTCACTCTCTCCTTATATAGCGAGCCCAACATTTGAATTTTCAGGGAAATCCAAAGTGTTATGTGGGGAGGATGGGAGGGCTTACCTCATGAGTCAGGATAAGTACAAAATATCAATTTTATTCAGAAAATTACATATTTTTCCTTATCCTGACTCATGCTCTTTTGCTTGTAGAATCCTACGGATACGGAGGTGGGAATACAAAATACTTTGGATTTAGATAATTAGTGATTTGGTAACTGTAATAACTGTAATAACCCCTATGGGAACTTCATAAAGGCACTGAATTGATAAATTCCTGCTGTTAAACTTATCAGCTGCCATATATGGGTTACTACAATATATATATATTATGATAAACATAAATAAAGTATTTACAACATGAATACTATGCTTAAGACTAAGATAGACTTAAGCTTGATAATATAATAGCATAAACTTCATAGAGTTGTTAGCTAATGATATTATTATGATACAATAAACATAGTACTGAGCTTAAGATTGTGATTGAACTTAAGCTAAAATATATAATAGCATAAACTTCATGGAGTTATTAGCTATATAGTACTGTTGTGAAATAAGCAGTAAAAATCTCGTAAGATTGACTTATCTTCTCCGAGGGACTGTCAACTGCTGAGCGAGGACCATGGGGCCGAAATGGTGAATGCCTGAGACGTCCTCGGTGGTGATATCTCTCAGATAGTGGTTGGCAAACCCCATATCAGATCTCCAGAAACAGCCCTCCATGATGGTATTTAAAGAGCAATTGCCGTGTAGAGCAAGTGTTGAAGCTAGCGCTCTAATTTCATGTGGATTAGATGCTCTTGGAGGGTCGAGTCCTGCAGCCTTGTAGGCCGCGTAGTATGACAGTCCTGATCCATATCGAGATAGTTATGCGTGAGACTTCAGTCTGTGTAGCTGTCGATAGAGGGATGAATAATCGTCTGAGTTTATGTAAGCCTACCGGATTGGAGCGTCGTAGATATATTTTCAGTGCTCTGACTGGGCATAATGATAGATCCAGTGTATCATGAGGTCCGAGAATTGATGAGAGAGCTGGGGCGTGGAATAATCTGTCTGGTTGACCTGGCAACTGGTTCTTAGCGATGAAATCCCAGCGTAGTCCCATATGCACGATGTTATGATTGTCATCAAAGCGTGTTCTCTCGTAATCTAGTGCGTGAATCTCTGACATCCTGGCTGCTGTTGCTAGGGATAACAGGAACAAAGTTTTCTGTGTCAGAAATTCGAATGATGTTGATTCCAGTGGTTCATATGCCTCACTTGTGAGGTGTTGGAGCACTATATTTAGATCCCATGCTGGAGCGCGAAACCTCTGTTTCTGATCCTCCAATCGGAATGCACGTAGTAAGGCGAGTAACTCTGGTGTTTTCGTCAGCTTGACACCCGTTCTCATAGTTATGACAGAGCTTAAAGCTGCGAGATATGTTGATAATGTTGAGCCTTTTAGATGTTTAGTCTGACGTAGGTAACATAAGTCATCGGCCACTTGTGGATGTGTAGCATTTCTAGCTGTAAATCCTTTCTTTGCAGCATAATTTTCAAAACTGTGCCACTTGTCATCGTACAAGTTGCGAGTGGAGTTACGTAAGGCAAGCGTGACTGCTTTCGCCGCTCTGGCTGAATAACCTCTCTTGTTTAGACACGCCTTAATACAGTCCATACCTGAAGTTGGAATGCTTCTGGCTTTCCGTGCGCTTGTTTGGTGTGAGGGTGTATTAGTAGATTCGAGCGCTTTGGAAGTTGTAGTATTGGTTGTCCGATTTCTTGAATAAGAGTTGGAAACCACGTTCTCGCTGGCCAGTAGGGCTGACCAAAATCATTTGGAGACTCTGAGTTTGCTTGATTTTCTGTAACACCTGTGGGATTAGCTGGCTGTGAGGCAGCGTCTGGCGTTGAGTCCTTTCCACGATATGCTTAGAAGCGTCCGTTGCCCATGCTAGTGGGTCTGGGACTGGTGATACGAATGTTGTCAGCTGATTGTTGAAGCGAGTGGCAAATAGGTCTATTAGTGGAGCTCC